AACCACCACACCTTCCTGATTTGGCACGAGCAGGTGATACCCACGTGTCTTATAATAAGACTGTGTGTCCCTCTCTAAGCAATCAAGTTAGCACCTCCTCCCCCTGCCACGTGCCATTTCTGTTAATTTTCCTACAAATCCCTTCCACCTGACCCCTGAAACAGGTGTTCCTCCATGTTCTTTACAAACTGCAAGACTACACTCCCATCCTTTTTTACATCTCAGCTCTTATTTGCTTTGGTGTTATTTTGAATAAAAATAATCCTTAACAAGCAAAAATAATTGCATTTTTAAAACACACACCTAGTATACTTTATGAATAGGATGTTCAAACTTAACCCTAGTTTCATTTCTAGTACTCCACAGATTATTTCTTCTTCCTACTTTCAACAGAGATACACAGCACAGAGCTCAAAGCATGACTAGCAGGAAGTTCGAAGTCACCTGAATTGCCTTCACAAACCTTTAAGCTTATTATGAAAACGAAGTGCACTTTTTATGACAGCAATGCTTTGACCATTACATCCATCTTTTTGCTCAGCCTTACCCTCCTCTTTGCATTTCTCTCTCCAGAGAAGATTATCTTCAGCCAGAATTCTCCAGTAACGACATGTCTGGGCTGCCTGCAGAAGGTCCCTGGGTTCCAGGAATGACAACACGTACAGTGCCAGCTGTAAAAAAGAAAAAGAAAGTGCGTATTCTGCATCACTTCTGAAAGGAATGGTGAAGTAGCTCACAGTACTATCGCACACCAGGGGCTGAAATACAGAAAATTGAAACAATAAATTATTAAACAATCTCAGAAACTTATACAGTTAATTCCAGTGGGTACATGAAAGTATAACAATCATCTTAAGTAACTAAATCCATACAGATCTCATCAGAAATGACTCTTGTATTTGCAGGAGAGTAGATATCAGCTGAAATCACTATTATCTTTTTAAAAATTTAATCCACATTACTTTGACCCATTAACAGAATTATTACTAAAATAATTATCTCTATGTTATTTTAGCTAACAAGTATACCAAAAGTTACTTTGAGAGTTTTAACTAGAAGGTACAACACTCACCACGTGAGCAAATAAGAAAGTACATTGTGATGAATAACGTCACTCAGTAAGCCTGAATACAGAAAAACTGAACGCTACGTCCACTTGAGTTCAAAAGCTGCGGGGAGTGCAGTGTATGTATTGCTCATTTTCTGATTAGAATGCGAACACGCTCCTAAGTGGTGTTGCAGGGAGTTTTACAGACTGGCATGCCGAAGGACTGAAATATGTAACCCCAATTCTGCACGCAGTGTGTTACCAAAAACATATGGGAAATTGCAAGAAGCACCAGAAGATGAACAGAAGATGAAGTTAAAGGTTATTGGGAGAATTCAGACGCCAGTTGACTGACCTAAGCCATATAACGACCATGATAAAACCCCCCAAAATCTCCACAAGTATCTTTAGATGTACTGAAGTCTTAAGAGGGGACAGAGGCATCTAAACAATCCAAAGTACAGGGACAGCTCTCCTCAAGGGTATGATGACCAAGGACAGCTTTTCTGCTTGACAGCAACAATGCATCTCCCAAGTCATGGAAAATAGAAGTATAAGAGGCAGGAAAGTCCCTTCTGCGGCTAAAAACTCGGCAGAAACAACAATATTGATAAAAAGTGATGCAGAGAACTACCTACACGCTGAAACAGTGGCGTCTTTGCTGATAACTAATAGGATGCAAAAGTTGTCAGAGAAATCAGATCATCCACACTTTTACTTCTGCTTGACATATCTTTTTGTGCTTTGGATTTTTTATTTAATTTTTAGATGGCGTTATGATGTATATAACTAGAATCTGCCCTTCAAAGCAGCACAGACTGAAATTCAGTAAGGAAATCAGAACCATAGGCTGTTGACCTCAGCAGATTTTTGACCTTATTATGTGAGAAACGTTTACTTTCAGTCATCTAGACCAGCCAATGACTGAGGAAGAAGTAAAAATTCAGTCTGCCGGAACTGTCTGCACTCTGCACACACACCTTGTTTGCAAGTCATCACCTGCAGCTCACGTTGAGCACGTAGGACTCCAGGCTTGAGGGATGTACGTCCTAAGTTACGCGTTAGATCCTGCATACACCCCAGGCCATACAGCTGAGGAATCTTCCTTCTGTCCCTACGCAGGGAGTCAGCATTCAGGATCTGGTGTTAAGGCTCTCTAGCACAAGAGCAACAACTGTACCTGTCCTTTTAGACTTTCTGTCTTAGTTCCTGGTATGTAAAATTATTTTGGAAGTGCTGTTTTCTCACATACATCTGATGGTCAGTCCTACATGCACCAAGACTCAAACACAAAAGAGACCATTTTCCATTTTTTTTCTGCATGTTCTTTAACTGAGAGCAAAGTTTGTTTAAATATCACTTGTCCTGTTTCTACAGATATGGGCACTTGCTAAGATGGTGTTAATTAAAACCCGCAAGCCAAGTGATTCTAAAACAGGTTACATATGGGTGACATTTATTTTAGACTATATTTATCTGAATAGTCATCAAGGGTCAACACAGCCCACTGTTGACTTTCAGATTAGCAGTGCATGAAAGATGATGTCCCTTTGTCTCAGCTCGTGGATCTAGTCAGAAGAAAACTTCAGGTAGCAAAGATGTGACCTTTGACTCAACTGTGACTACTCTCCACTGTAGTGTTAATAATACCCCATAATAAGCGGTCTCTCGCCTTTTTCTTCACTCACTCACACACACACAGAGCACCAACAAAATTTGGTCGATTTCAGCAAAACTCCTAATCTCTCTGTTTCTAGACCTGATTTGCACAAACAAGTAATTTCAATAATTATTTCTAAAGTCTCAGCAAGAAAACAGGAGTACTCATTTCAGATTAATTGTTTGACTGCATGTTTCCTCAGGAGGAAAGCAAACATTTTCTTGGTTATTCAGCTATTAAGTTACTGTCTTTGCATTGCTGAAAAACAGTTTTGAAGAAAAGTCCTCCTGTCCAAATCATCTTCTTTCAGAGTGAAGCCTGTTGACAGACCTACTGGCCCTAACTGCCCTCCCAGCTCTGTTCGTCACCCCCTACTGCAGCCAGCGCAAGTAGCTGGGGAAAACGTCCCTTCAGAGATCTGGGCGAGGAACGATCTTCAAAAAGAAGGGGAGATGGTGGAGCTAGCTCAATGGGGTTTTTGATTAACTTGCTTCATTCTGATGACAACGACTGGGGCTTAGGAAGCTAAAATTATTGAAGCCAGTGGTGAAGCTAAGCGCTTGGCCATATTCTGGCTTCAAGAGGCAAGAACAAACACTAAAAATAAATTTAAAAAATTAAACACAAGTAGCTTACAACAGAGTAAAGAAACGGAAATGAGAAAGTTTTACAGCTAAATGGCATCTCTACTGTGAAGAAGTTGTTAAAACTGAAATAATAACATGCTCATTACTTACAGCATAACTAGATCACTCGTCGTTCTCGAGCTAGTTTTGCCACTAAGTCATGCAAAGACAACTTAGCTCTGAGTTATCAATTCAGTATTAAATTTCCAGAGTTAATAGATGCAGAAGTGGCAAAGTATCTTCTGTCTTCTCAATTTAGAAAGTCTTGCTGCCTTCCCTCCGCCTCTGAACTATGACTGCTCTGGGCAGCTTCTCCAGAAACATGGCAACCACCTAGAGGTCTTAGCTCTGCTCTGCTCCTCCCCCAGTGGCGCTTCCAGGTTTGAAGAAGGCTGCCACAGGAAGGGCTTCTGTGAACACTGATCTCACATCATGTGCACTGAGTTAATGCTCATTGCTTAAACTGCTTCCAGCCCTTACAAACGCTAACCAGCAAGGGAAGGCTGTGAACTTCCTGACTTGTGAAGATACGACCGTATATAAAAGGAAAGAAGAGTCTTGTACATTTAAGTATTCAAAATAGGATATGCACCAGAAAAAATGTCAAGAAACAGACACTGAGTAAGACCATGTCAAACACTGCAACCAAATACTAGCACCAGAATATCTTTTAAGAACTTGCTTTGTAATGTGTTAGTAACTGAAGACTATTTATAAAGACTTCAGCCCTCAGGAAAATTTTCACATGGAAAACATGCAGTAGATCTGGCAGAAGAAAACAGACTTCCTCCCCACTCCAAATAATAAACCAATTTCCAATTCCCTAAAATCAATCAAGGGCAGAAGTACCATTTGTAAATGAACTACATTCATTTAATAATTGTAGCAACCGGGTTTATAATCTTTCACATCCACTCTCACATTCTAGTTGTGAGGACATCAAGAATTACTCTTCTGTGGACAGTATTTAGTTACACATGCTGAAAAGCACACATGCCGAAATCTAAAACTTAGTTTCTCTTTAACCTGATATAACATGATCTGATTTGCAGTAAAGGATTTACTGGAAGATACCTGCTTAATTAGGGTTTGGCTTTATCCTTAGTAAGAAGTGTTTTTCTGGGTTTACTTCTAGGTTATTTTTTTTCCTAGAGATTTTAGGGCTCGGTTTCTTTAAAATAAAAGCTAATACTCACTAAATCACTTAAGGCGTTAAACAATAACGCTTATACCTACAGAATAACATGCAGAAAGGGCTCACATCCAGAGCAGATTTTTGTGTGTGCATGCCCTATCACAATTAGTTCTCAAAAAAAAAAAAAGCACAATCAGCCCAATTAAGATACAGAGATATTTTTAAAGCTACTGGGATTTTGTTTAAAGGAGTCATCAGTATTTCCAGGTATCTAAATGCCTATCAAGAGACAAAGGTATGTTAATCTGCAATGACAGTGGCCACATCATGGCAGTGCACCAAACTGTGGACCTCCAGTTTACATCACTACGTTGGCAAAACTGAATGCCATAATTAGTGTGGAAGAGCCGATGCACTGCCTAGTCCAATATTAACCTATATTTCTCACCTCTTTTGGGAGCAAGGAAATGAAGTCTCTTTGAAACTGGGGCTCTATCACTTGCATCATGTGTTTTACTTGCGTTGGTTCACAACTATCAATCAGTTCATCTAAAGCAAGTAATTTCTCTGGTCCACTCCAGCTCTGCAAGACAAAAAAGGAATAAACCATAAGCTTAGTTTAATACACTACTTTGGTTTACATTAGTAAATGCTGTTGCTCTGCCAATAAGGCAAGTTTCCTTGCCGAGCTATATACATGCATATAAAGAGCATATCAAAAGCCAGCAAGATAAATGCTCATCTTAATTACACAAAAATCAGAAGTTAATCAACACAAAATATTGAAAATTACTACACTGATTCATAAGCTAAGAAAGGATTTGTTATACACACACACATACAGATGAGCAATTAAATAGATAATAATATTTAATAATAATAATTAAATTAATTAAGCTTTTTTTCAAGTTCATGAAATCTACACCCACATTAGCAACAATGAAGGGGTTTGCAACAGAATGCGCTCCCTCTCCGTGTTTCTCCACGGTGCGTTCGAGTGAGATGGTAACTTTTAACCTTTTTGTTTCATCTAGTAGACCAAAAACTTTAAACAAAACGAGAGGAAAGGAAAGAAAGAAACTTTTTTTTAAAAGTACATTAGCTTACTGCCTGCTTATTACTGCGGTATGTCCCTAAGTGACAATGCTGTAATTTGAGAATCCTGGCTATAAACCAACATATATTTTGTAAGTATCAATTTACGCTTGAATAAACAGGCAATTTTGATTGGCAATTTTCTTACTTCACATTTTTACTAATGGGCACCATAAAATTTGAAGATTTTAATAAGGCACTCATCTGAGAGCGTAGCAGATTAGCAGCATCATTTGTAGAAAAAAAAATAAATGAATATACTCCACATCTGAAAAGCACGTCTTAAACTCATCTGTGCTCATCAAAGAGTTTTGATTTGTTATGTGAAAACAATTTAAAGAAAAAAAAAATTCTACAGGAAAAAACAACAGCCACCGCTAACTGATTTAGCAACAGAACTAGAGCATGAATAAAGCCTTAGAGAGGGGAGAAAAAGAGACATCACAGTTTCTGAGAGCAGATTCACATTCATGTTTTTGAATGTCTTCTAGAGTGACACAAGTAAATTAGCACATACAAATTATATTACAGTTATGGTAAGAGGCTAACTGAAATTAAACAAAAAATGCAAGATACCTTACAATGAAGATTTCTGTACTACTCTGCCACATATCTCAGAACTTCCATTACTCATGCTCTAAATTTCTGTTCTCTGGATTTGATTCTGACAGCTAACTCTGGTCTCCACAATACTACAACATTTGTATACCGTGAAGTTTCTGCAGAACAATGAGGCAAGTGAAGGAGATGGTGGAATTTTTGAAAGCGAGCGCAAAGCAGATAAATACCCTGCTTTACTTGGTGAAGAAAGATCATCACGTTGCATCACTTCTCCCTAATAAAAATGTCAACATTGTCCTGCAGTGGCTCGTTCACCCCGGTGACATGCTCTTGCTCTACAGCAAATGCATGGCAGACACTGGACAGCCCACCCCAACAGGGGAGGGGACGGAGAAGGAAGTCCCTATGACCTGAGCCCTTCCACAGGCTGTTAGCAACTGGAAAAATGGTTTAGTCTGGCAAGACAATATTCCCCATCCACGTGTGTCTATGCAGATTGCCACCATGAGATAAGGTTTCCATGTCTCACATCCAGTACCTCAGAATATTGAAAAGAAACAAGAATGTCTCAGCGTTAATTGCAGCAGTGCTGTTATAAACAGCTTTTATTATAAATTTCTTTCAATAGAAATATTTGCATCACAGAGCAGTTCTCCACAAATCATGCACTGAAGAACTGTTTATCTCACCAACTTTCCAACTGCTGTTTGTGTCATTAACCCAGCACTTAGCTGGTGTTAGGTACAAACCTTTGCAATCTTTAATCTCATCTGTCAGCTGTGTTTGAATTTAGGAGAACTAAAAAAAAGGGAAAGTAATACCTGTGCTACTTCCTTACGATATACATTTCCAAGGTCAGTCTACCCTTAATTTATAAGCAGCTACATTTACTAAATTAGAACAACTCAACCTGAGCATTGTTTTTTTGCTCTGGCAGGCAGTGCTAGCAGTTATGAACATGTTACTGATTAATAATTTCACTGTACACTATCTTAGTCTGTAACTCTCTTACACTTAAACATTTCTGTTTTTAAAATGTAACATGGGTCTGAACAGAAAAGGGAAAAGATTCAAGAGTGGGCAAGAGATGCTAATGAATAAAAGCAGTCCCCTCTTCCATCTGTCCATTCACCGTTCAGGGATGGCTACAGGCAGCTTCCTAAGGCTCTTTTTAAGCAATCAGCTGCTACAAAACGTTTTCTCTAGGACACTGTCCCCTCAGTCTTTCACTTAAGCAAACAAACCTCCAGCTACAGTCGGTAAGGGGTCTCTGAGGGAAGTGTTTGGCATGGAAAACTGGGATGAAGCCTTGCCAGCTGAACACAACTGATTGCATTAACGAAGGCAAGACTAGTAAATTAGCGTTTCTGGGCCCCGTAGCCTGATCTGTTTGTAAAAAAATTGCACGTAGCACATGCAAGGAGCGGAAAGGGGATGAAATAAGTTTGTGGCTTTGATGAGAAACAACAGTGAACAAATGTCACAGAGGAGAAAAGAAAAAAAAAAAAAAAAGTAAATGCGTGCCAAACAGTTTGCAAAGTTTCAAACATTGTAGATGACCAGAGACTTCCGAGACATACAGTGTAATGTCCAGGTACCCTGGACTTCTACCAGTAATTCCCTTTCAAATTGAATGTCTTTGTAAAGAATGTACTTCATCTTTACAATGCATTTGTTTAATTGGTTCTCCTTGTCTTCAAAACTTAAGTTTAATTTTAATGTGAAATTAAAATAAAGCTTTTATTAAGGGCTGGGGTTCCCCTAGAAAAGGTAACTCCAGGGTGCATTCACATACCCCTTGGAAAGGTAACAGGGACTGCTGATATGATCTGAGACTCCTAAGCAAACGTTGCCCCTCTTCCCTGCCATGTCCCCGGGGAGGTGTTTGTTTGTCAGCCAAGCCCTTTTGGCTCATCCATACCATACCCCGGTTCAGTAAGGCTGTTGCTGCAACCATGGCACTACCTACCTGAAAACTATCCCTTTGCTTTCCCCTTTGCTATTATGTTTAAATGTCTGGTTTTGCTTTTTCAGGCATGCAAAACAGCTTTATAATCAATATAAATGACAGCTTTGCTGCTTCTGCAACATCCACCTTATCCCTTGGGTCTGACCCACCACCTATCTTTGCACCATCTTCTGTTTCTGCACCCTCTACTCTTCCATGATCTATGCTTTTCTATTCCACAGCTCTCATCTGCTAGCTCCAATCTGTACAATTACAGTTTGCAGCAATTAGATCCTTCTTCTATTATAGGTATATTTAGGACACTTATTTTAAATGTTTTAATTTCAGGGTGCTGTTCTCTGTTGCTGAGTTCTGTTAATGGAGGAGTGTCGTTACAGAGACCTTCAGGAAGGGTTCCTCAGGATCCTGTTTCTGTCCAACTCTTGCGCCAGTACCGAGAACCCTGCCACCCCCCACCTCAAAGGTTATCTTGATCTGGATAAAAATAGCACATAAGCAAAATCCACAGAATGAAGCACTGGCTACATCAGCAAGTAGTTTGTCACAACAGGAGGGGTTTGGGAGCAGCTGGTGCTGAAGCCCCAACATTAACCCATCTCTAAGACCTTGTCTGGTGGTCTCCTGGTCTGAACATCTGCCCCACACGTGATGTGAACCTGTCCAGAGGAGCAGCGACTGGTGCAGACCCTCACGTCCCTCTGTGGGTTGGACAACGGTTTCACGTACAGTTTCTAGAAGTCTGGTTTGTACATGTCAGAACTGCCCTGAGACCCAAATCCATGGGAAATAAGCAGGGATGACCAGGAAATCTGCTTTAAATCTGCACTCTTCCTCTGAAACAAGTGCTAGTGGTGATAAAGCCAAAAGGGGTATGTAACTGTAGTGTGGCTCTTCCCCATTCTGAGCGTAGGGCTTGTACAGGAACACCAAACCCTTGACCTAGTCCCACAAGAGACAGAGCAGAAAATGCTGCAGCGCTGGTTATGGTACCATCTTTACTGTCTGCTTCACGTAAGAGGTGGACTACTCAGTCTGCACACTTACGCATTCATGAGTGTCTTCAGAAGAAGAAGAAACAGAGAATGGTAAGTAATTTGAATTAAGGTGGCTTAGCCAACTATTTATGTAAAAGCAAGGAACAGTACTCTTGCCAGCTAGAAATGGCAAAAGCATTTTTGATGCCATCTAAACCAATGAGAATAAAATGCAAAATTTTTAACACATTACTTAACATAAAACCCAACCCTGTAAGTATGTGAAGCATGAACAATTAAGAGAGAAAGAGAACTTAATTTTTTAAGACGGTACCATCTCTGACTGAGCTTAGCATGACAATGATTTTTCTTCCTTAGGGGAAGCAATTTCGTGACTCAAAAAATGTATCCTGCTTAAAACAAAATGAAATAAAAATTGTTGGAAAAGAAAAAATCTTGTAAAGATACACTTGGGCACTGAGTTTTAAAAATCTTATAGTGGATATTAAGAAAGCCTGAAGCCAAGAGTCACTGCAAAGCAGAAAAAAATAAACAGGCCTTTAAGAAAAGAAATGGTTTGAACCTATCAAAATGCTTTTCTATTTTTCTTTCCAGACTAGCATTTCATTGAAATCAATATACATCTTCATTTTTAAAGGGAAACTGCAAGCACACTTCCAACTGTTTCTCCTTTCTGCATTAGTTTTCTGACACTTTCAAAATCAAAGGCTTAGATGAACTATAAAACATAACAGCAGTAATAACATGTACCAAATACATTTTAAACACCCCTTAAAAGCCATCCTAAGTTTTCTTAATATTTGAAGAGTGGTCTTGCTTTTTAATTTGAAAAGAGAACATAGAATGACTGCAGGCCAATGTACAGGAGAGAGACCTGAAAATAACTGCGTATCACTTGTTACTGCCAGCTTCTATGCCAATGGCCAGTTCTATCTTGAAACAGTACCTATGTCCAGCTACCGTGAAGTTGGAAATTTAGCTTGAAAATTAATTGGAAATACACTTTCGTATAAAATAAGATAGGGCTATTAAGCAGGCTTAGCAAGCATACAGTATATAAAGGAACACCCTCTCCACTTCTGTTTCTGTACAGGAAAAACTTTGTATTGCAAGAATGATGCTCCATGTGCCATTTAACTCTCCCCTCTGGGCAGAGCCAGCTCCCCTCACTTTAAGAATGTGCTTTTATCATTTGACTGTTTAAGACCTGCCCCTTCTGTAAAATGCACATGGACAAAAGCACACGGAAAATGAGGTGGCTTAGCATCAGGCAAGGAGACATAACCACGTGACTTTGAAAGCTTTTGGTTCTAAAATAAGGGACTCCCTTTTGTGAATGCAATAAAAACTACCAGTGACAGAAGGGACCAATGAGTGCCATTCGATGATCTCCAGTTAGGAGAGAGAGGCCTCTCTCTTTCTCTCTCTCTCTCAAGAGTATAGATCAGCATTTAGGAACTTAGTACTGCAACTAAGTATGTTGAAAAGTTGGAAGTATCTAATTATATATTTATTAAAGCATGATTTCTACATTACTAACCCCAAATTTGGGACCCTAAAATAATAACAACTTAATTATAGGCAAAATTTCCATGGGCTTACGGATTTCTTTTCCTTATCCTGACCAAACAGCTGATGGCATTGCTTTTACTGTCAAACATGTCTGCACCACTCTCTCAAACATTCCAGCCCTTTTTTTTTTAAATGTGTAACTATTGATAACTGGCTATCTTATGTGAGAAAATACACATTTTACATTGTAGATAACAAAATAGCTTTTCTTAGTACAAATGCTTTAACATTACAAAATGTTAAAATACAATGTGGTATTACATTGTCATATATACAAAATACCACTTAATTATGATTCTTAGGGGTTAAAAAGACATAATTCTATGAAGTCTCAAAAGACACCATAATAATTAAATGTGAATATATTTAAGAAACTGAATGATGTGTACATGAATATCTTAATTCCAAACTTACACTGTTTTAAGCAGATTATAAATACGTAAAAATAAAGAGGGAAGGCGTTCTGCACTATTATCTTAATGTTCAGCACTGACAGTGATTGAGATCAATGGTATTATGTGGCAGCATGAATCAAGCCAAAAGCACACCTCTGCCTGCAAAATTGTATGCTCACTACTGTACCTGCAATATTGCTCTTCTATCTTTGCCTGTTACAGTAACTGAAACAATGCCTGCATTAGTTAGTTACTCCTTTTGAAAATGTTTTAGAAGTAACAGTTTATTAATCAAGATACGAAGACATAATATTTCCACTTTTCAAATCAATGACTAGGACTCATCCCTGCTTCTTAAAAATACAGAGCAAAACTGTACAGTACAGAGATCTCCATGGTACAGGTCACGGAATAGGAGCAAAGGCCTGCCACAAAATGGATCTGTATTAACATACACCAAGTTCTCTTAGGTGCTACCAAATCGGTGCTACCAGATCAGTGTCCACGCAGATTTCAGTTTCAACCTGTGCAAGTGGCGCAGAGCACTGTCCTTCACACCTCTGCTTTCCTCCTTACATTTAGACATTACTAAAGGCTGTTGGAAAGGTACAGAAAACCTCCTTCCCCCTCTGTTCACTTGTCTGCGCATGTACTGGCTGACATTCTGTTCAGTACACAAACATCAGTAAAAATACACACTGAGCTTCCTTTTAATCTATTTTTACTAAACTTTTCCTTCTATTCTTAGAAGACACCAGACTTACGTAAAATTTAGTGCTACACCTGCACTGAAGCAAACCACAAACTAATGCTTACTAGTTTCCAAGTAAAAACATCTCAAGTTAGCTTGAAGCCATGAAGGCAGCCGTTACGTGTTGGACAGACTTTGCAGAAGATGTGCAAACGAGAAGGTTATTTTATTAAGAAACCATAGAAAGCAGTTATTTTTTGTGAATCTCTAGGGTAACCAGCTAAAACAGGGACCAACAGTTCCTTAAAGCTGATGCCCACTTGTTTCTGCAACAGAACACAAAATCAGAGACATTCTGGGATGTGTAAGGAGGGCTGCCTTCACTGAAGCAGCCTTTTATCTAAATTACAGAGGTTAGCTGCTTCAGAGGTTTATTTCTCTAAGCACTGGTTACCTGAAACATCTTCAGCCACTCCTGAAGGCCAGTCGGTGGCTGCACAGACGTAATGCGGCGACGTTGCTGTCCCTGGCCATTGGCTGCCCTCAGGTCCCCAAAAGTTGTAGGTGTGGCAGAGCATGGCACTAGCCCTGTAGTACTACAATACAAACAGAACGTGACAGTCACATGTCAAACATGAAGGAAAATTTAGAAATCTATTGCTGAAAAATAAATCTTGTACAGGAGTTACAACTCTTAAACTTCATTCAAAAGTAGTAACATGAAAAATTGTTCCACTGGTCACTCAAGGGGTCAGTTCCCTCACTTTCCTAAATCTGACAGTTTCTACCACTGCAGTACTAATCCTCCAGCAAGGGAGAAAATTTCAAGGCTGAAAAATTATCACTCCGTTAATTGGCCAGCAAGTTGACTATAAAGATGCAGGTTTATATATTCCTTCCCTTGCCAAAGTATTTCTTTTCCGTCTGGGCTGCATTTGTGCCTTCTGACTGCTGATGCAGGAAGACAGAGTTCAGAATCTCACCCATACGTGAAATGTGCTACTGTTGCTTCATCACCAAACAGAAAAAAAATGTTTCTATTTTTAGCTCTTAATATATTTGTTGACGAAGAGCTTGTAATAGCAAGCAGTTCTATCAGCTGAGCAGTTTGGAACTGCACTTTGAAATCCACTATACAGTATTTTAAAGTTTGCGCGCTGATGGAGTGATACAGGAATTAAAAGGGGGTGAGGTGAAGAGAGAAAAGGAGCCAAAGGTGCTCCCTGAATTGCAGTTTGATTTTTTCACTCTGACTTGTTAAAACCAGCTCGTTCATATGGGCTGGAGCTTTTAAAAGAGCTGGGATTAAGCTGCTATTGTAGGAGTCTGAAGAAATACAGCTGACTGGGTTCTTTTTTTTTTTTTTTTAAACATAATGTAAAGTACTTCATTCACAGAATATTGAAGTTGTATTCCCTAGCAGGAAAATCTGGAACTCCAGTAGTGTTTGCACAAGCTTGAAAATTTTAAATACAGTGTGGAACTCAAAAAACCCCTTTACTTCTGTGTATGATAAATCCAGCTCTTTAGTTGGTATCAGCTTCAGGGTTTTACTGACTTTTCAGTGGCTAAAGGAGTAGCTTCAAATGATGCAAGGCAGGTTCATTTTAATATTTACCTCATCATAATCTACAACAATTTCACTCTGCTCTCACTTGTTTTAAAGGACAATCATGGCATGCCCTAACATTTACCCAAACTGGTAAAGAAAAGATTGGTTTGAAGAGGCATATTTTTAACTTAACTTTACTGAGTAAAAACAGAAACAGAAGCTGATATAAAAATATTGCTTTGCAGATGAAGGATCCTCTTGATGACATTTGTTTACTGGCATTACCTGTTATATGCAAAGAAAGTTCATCAGGCCTGTAAATTTCAAAGTGTCTGATCCTAGGGAAAATGAAAACAAGCAGGCACAATAACTGCATCATTTGCCTAAATATTGTTACATAAAATATGATAAAACAGTTTAAAAGAGAGGATTAGAAATTATTTAAGGATTCTTTTATACCAATAATGACTCAAAATCCAAGCAATGAGAACCTAAAGTATTTTTAAAATAAAATGTGGTTTTACAGCTTACTCATTCTCATCACCTGTACAGAGATCCAGCAGAAGGCCTGTCATTTAAGGTCCAAAATAAGGCTCTTAAAATTGGCTTATATTGGATCTGAGCAATACATAGCCTTGAGCTTGCCCCAGAAGAACAGTTACACTTTTATTTCTTCTGCTGTAAACTGGTTCTCTGTCAAAACCAGTTATTCAAACGAAGATCCAAAAGCCTCTTTCCTTTGACCTGAGATTAAACCACAAGATTTTTGTTTGTGCTTTACTTTTCCTGTATGTTTTCATTCCCCTGAAACAGCAAGTCAGGTTTCTGTGGAAGCTGGACAAGTCCAGCGGCTCCTCTGAATCTGACAGATACACTTGACAAAAGAGCGTGTTTTCATTGCTGCTGAGCTGTCTGCTCTTAGGGGAGCACAGAGAACAGCACGTCACCTGCAGAACTGGTGGCCAACAAGAGCGTTCTTCCATTAGACTGGTTTAGAAACCCAGAGAATCTACCAACTGGAAACTTGAGGGTGATGTGGAAGCTGCAACACCTGCTTCTCAGCAACAAGACACCTGCTTCTGTTTCTCTGCTGCAGTGTTTACACATCTGAAAAGCAAGTCTGGAACCTGTTTCCCAACACTAGCCTAACCTTTCAGCCATCAACTGATAAACTTCTTAAAGGAAGAGAAATAAAATATAAGTTACTTTTGAAAGATCCATCAGTGACTGAACACTACTACAGCGTATTCAGAAGAAATAATGTCCCTGCACAGTTTTGGGAGGCAAGCGCAGTGCTTGTGGAACGGCTGATGCTTATTACAGGGAAAAAACAAAAAATGGTGTAAATTCAAACAGGATGGGAAGCAGCATGGCATCAGAGCACAATTGTTATGGCAACTATGCAGTAAGAGCTGCAGTTGTAAGGCGTGTATCCAGGGCTCTACTCTACCACCGCTTCTCACACCTAGGAGTGTTTTACCCACAAAGCATCTGGCCGGAACAGCAGCAGTTTTGTTTGTGTGATCTGGTACCATTCAGGAGTAGTAAGGAAGCAGAGTAGAACCCGTAATAATTTCATATTGTGGATAACAAGTACATGTGTGTTCCTGTTAAGATCAGATGGTCTGCTCTGCCTACATAAATTTCCATTCTCTCATTCCTGTTACCATAGCGAAGTGATACATTTGATCACAGTTTGTAATAGTCTTAGGGTTTATCATTATGTCCCTTTTAAAAAATCCGATTGATTTTATTCCCAGGACTGCTTCAGCCCTCAAAAAGTCTCAAAGTAAATGGGCATGCTATATTTAGAATGAAACACAAACCTCAACTGAAGAAATGCAAGTCTGGCTACTTCATTAAAACTCATCTTCAGTTCACGTAATTTAAAGTAGCTAAGCAATATACGAATGCTGACACCGCCCCTTCTTTGCTTTACAGTGCTTTAACATTAAGGCGAGCCATGAATCAGGCTCAGCAATTGGAAAGACAGGATATAAGCAGGAATTGATGTCCAGTGATGTTATTGCATTTCATTACCTTGTGTATTCTGAGACTTTGCAGGGTTTCTTTCCCAGAGAGAAAGAACGGACCTCGGAGCCATGGTCCAACTTTCTCTTCATCTGCAAGGGGAGGGAAAAGAGCAACATTTAGTTACATGACCAGTCCTACTTATGCATACTTCTGTAAAATTAATCCATTTTTACCTTGTGCTTTAACACTGAATTTCAACAAAGTTGACTCTAAGAAGACAATTTAAATGAACGTTTTAGTTTCTAGTTTCAACAGCATTTGGTGCACGCCTTACATGGTGCACTTCCATATTATTGCTGTTCTGGGGTCCAAAGACTATTGGAATTACATTATTTTAATTTCCAAATTTTACATGTTCAAAAGTGTGCAGAACTGTATGTTGGTTTATTTACTAAACTGTTCTCTTTCTATTTGCCTGGGAGGGCAGGCAAAGAGCTAAATCAAATCCCTTCATTCTTTGTGTTCAGGTTGATTGCTAGGAGTCTCACGGAAATGGCTAAATTTTAAGTAGCCTGTCTGAATTATAAACCCAATACTCATTTTAGGGCCTAAAAAAAAATAAAAAATCAAATATATTCTTTCTTTTGTCTACCCTTTTAAATCTGAACATTGAAAACATTTATAGAACTGCATTAAAACTGACAGATTAACCGACATTTTTACAAGAAGGGTAGGGATGAAAAACACTAAACCTCAGTCTTGAATGTCACCCGCAATTAGATATGATCAAAACCAAATAATGAGCAGGGCAGCTGCTAAAAGGGGAAGCCAGTCTGCAAAAATTGCCAGAGATGGAAACCAGTGAAAGCCGTATTTATCCAGTCAGACAAATAAAGATTACTTTCTACATATTTGGGTAATCTTTAACCACAAGCTTTTGAATTCAATGAGGCATATGGATGCCAAATACAATTTCTGAGTTTTTTGTTGGTTTTCTTTTTTTAAGATGCGATACACCAAAACACTTTAGCCAGCAGAAGGATGCTTACTGCTGTTTACAGCTGTGAGCTGCAAAATCCATAAACTACCTGTGCAGCAATTCAGACTTCAGTTTGACCATTTGCTCCCTTTTTTCAAATTTTCATATTCAAGAGACAGTTTAAAAGTTGGCATGTTTCTTATATGACTGATTTGATCTTTTTAAAATGTTGCATAAGAAGAGTTATTTAACCATTTATTGTACCAGTCTACCTGCCCAAAAACAAAACACCCGTTTCTTTTTTTTTTTTTTAACTTTTAAAATACCTTTATGGCTTTCCCTAAAAACAGTCACTGTTGACTTTGTGTTTTGCTTTATTAGTGATTAGATAGGAAAGACAACCAAGATTAACTGTTTTCATTTTTACAGTAACAGCTACAACTCAGCCAGAAGAGCTTGCCTTGTAGCCTTGTTTTCTTGCCCATGCCTCACATAGGACACTCCACAGCATTTCACCAGACAAGCATTCAGCCAGAACCGCCCCGAGCGCTGCCAAACCACCAACCTCACCCTCGCCACTTCCCCACACCCCAAGGAAGAGCAGCCCCCCGCGCTTCCCCTAAGAAAATTCCCCACACCCCAAGGAAGAGCAGCCCCCTGCGCTTCCCCCAAGAAAACCCAGTTGTAAGCATCCCTGGAAAATAATGGATACCATCCTTTATTGCTGTGCTAGACAAGCGAGCCATCAAAAATACTGGAAGTATAAGTAAGATGTTTGAGCATGATTTCAGTATTTGATGATAAGACTTTTCAGAACGGATTTTTCGTGTTCAAGGGAAACTTCGATTTCCAGCTTGCCTTTCTGAGAGGTTATCATCCTCGTTTTCCTCTTCTGCTTCTCCTAAGAGGGAGATGCAGTCTCCCAAAAGCACACCTTAAAATAACAAGTACGAAGCCTGCCGTAGAATAAGCAGCTATAGTGATTTACTCTTTTGCGTTAGCAAAGAAAAAAAGATGCAGTTCTCTACACCATTGCCTTATAGTGATTTCATGGATTTCTTTTGGTT